CGCCCGCGCCCCCGCTGGCGGCGCCGCTGAAGACGAGCGTCCGCCGAAGCGCGAGCCACAGTCGCTTCTTTCCTCCTGGTTCTGACTTTACACGAGGAGCTGCGCTCTGAGGACGAACCTCTCGTGACTCTAAGGGATTTTTTAAACGGAAGAGCCCCAAACCCGGCCACGAGAGTGGAAGCCGGCGGCCACGCACTGCGCACGCTGGGAAGAAGCTCTTACTTGTGAAATCTGGTTGTCATTTACGACGAGGTACTGCAAGGACGGGAACATGGACGTCTTGCGCCCTAGAGAGAGGAGCACAGAGTCACGCTGGAAGTGAGAGCGAGCCACGGTGTGGGGGCAGATTTGGCTGATCGTACGTACCAGCGCCAGCATCTGGAAAGTGTATCGAGGAAAGTCCAACGTTAGAGAGGATTAATTGCTCTAACCTGAAATTTAAGATGTGACATCTGGTCACGCAGAAGAACTTCACGCGCTGCGGGCTTTCAGCCACACTGGCTCACACCACGTTTTCCTGCACCCGGGGTTTCCTCCCCGGCCGACCCCTAGAACCACACGGTCCGACTTAGGGCGACCAGACGGCCTCGTGTGCCACTCGCTCCAGAGTCCACAGTCAACTAGCAGTGGCCGGGACCTGCCGCTGTGTCAGGCGCTGCATGGGTCTCAGCGGAAAGAGACCTGGTCTTGCTGCCCGAACTGAAGAGGACCCTGGCAGTATCGCCGGGAGCACCTTACTCGTCCACTGATCCAGCACGGCCGTAGTCCATACTGAACACGGCGCACAAGTAATTTCTCTAAACGAATTCAAGTAATTCCTCAAAGGGAATTACTCGATTTAGGAGTTCCATCACCGTCACATTCCACTGAGAAAATGACAGACAGCATATGAAACTTCATTCTCTAAAAATTCACCGAGCACTCTTGCAATAGACATACCTGGGTAGATATGCTAGCAAAAACAGCTGATTTTCATCAATTAACTGATTCGAGGAAAGGTCTAATAACTTGACTGTCTGTAGAACATCAGTTGGCCTGTATGGAAAATAAATTATTTTCAACGTGAATTAATCTCTCAATTACTTTCAAAGATACAGCCTTAAAATCCCTGCATTTGGAATCACGGAGGGCTGGGGTGAGGCAAGTAGACACAGCTGTGAAAGGGCGGCCTGAGGGGTCCTTGTGGTGATGGAAACACTCCTGACTGTATCAATGTCAGTATCTTGATGAGATGTTGGACCTCAGTTTTGCAACCTGTTGCAATGGGGGAAACTGGGTCATAAGTACAAGTGATCTCTGTGTACTATGTCTTATAACTGCATGTGAATCTAGAATTATTTCAAAATAAAAAGCTTAATTTTTAAAAACCTGCATTTGCCTATGTAATAAATGAAATCATTCTGTCATATAAAATCATATCAATTTTGAGGCAGGAGGATCACTTGAGCCCAGAAGTTCAAAACCAGCCTGGGCAATATAGCAAGACTTCATCTCTGCAAAAAATTGAGAAATTAACTGGGTGTGGTGGTACACGCCTGTAGCCCCGGCTACTTGGGATGCTGAGGACTGCCTGAGCCCAGGATTTTTAAAAATCTTATTAATTTTAATGTTTTGAGAATTTTTGTGAGTTTTCCTATAATTGTCTATTTTATTTATTTATTTATTTTGAGTTGGAGTCTCACGCTGTGGCCCAGACTGGAGGGCAGTGGCACGCTCCCGGCCACCGCAGCCTCAACCTGCTGGGCTCCGGCGATCCTTCTGCCTCAGCCTTCCGAGTAGCCGGAATTACAGGCGCACGCTACCATGACCAGCTAATTTTTTTTTTTTGATTTATTGTAGAGATGAGGTCTCGCCAAGTTGCCCAGGCGGGTCTCGAACCTGCGGGCTCAGGCAATCCACTCACCTCGGCCTCCCAAAGTGCTGGGATTACAGGCTGAGCCACCGAGCCCGGCTGTCTATTTTACATAGTAATTTTATTATATTAATAAAAGGGAGATGAGGCAACAACATTTAATTTATTTATGAGAACATGTTTGTTGTTGTGGGGTTTTTTTCTGAGTCGGGGTCGTACTCTGTCACCCAGGCTGGAGTGCAGTGGCACAATTATGGCTCACTGCAGCCTCCACCTCCTGGGCTCAGGCAATCCTCTCACCTCTGCCTTGGGTAGCTAGGACTACAGATGTGCGCCACCATCCCTGGCTAATTTTTTAATTTTTTTGTAGAGACAAGGCCTCCTAAATTGCCCAGGCTGGTCTCAAACTCCTGGACTCAAGCATTTCTCCCACCTCAGCCTCCCAAAATGCTAGGATTACAGACATGACCCACTAAACCCAGCAAGAGAATGAGCTTTTAAATATACTTTGGCAAATCGACCCGAAACAGATCATGCTAATTATAAATGCATTATGTAATCCTTGTAGCATATCCTACAGAATTTCCACTTAGAAACAGCAAGTTAAATACATTTATGCAAAACTAATACAATTCAGGCACTCACAAACATTTGATTCTCATGAATTTCCCTCGATTAGAATCAATTAATGAGGTTTTAGCTGACATTATAATTTGTGAAGGCAATGAATAACAGGCATTTTCTCCCATTATTTGCAAATCCTTCTGAAAGTTAATGCTAGATATAATTGAGACCGCCTATTTATTCAGAATGACTAAATGGGGACAGACGCACTTAAGTAAACCCTTGTTACCTTTCTGAAATGAAAATGCCGTTGGCCTTCAGGTACAGCTCCTCAAGGGCTGGGCACCCCGCAGCACACCGGAGCACCTGGAAGGGAGCCCACCCACATCAGGGGAAGAAGCCTCTGCTGGGCGCTCCTCCCGCCGCAGGAATTCAGCGCAGGTGTGTCAGAGGTCAAGCGTCTCCCGGACGATCCCCAGACTACTGCGGGCGGGGGTGGAGGGGGCAAACTGACACGTGAGAGGGCTGCATCTCAGTGCCGCGGGGCACAGCCTGGGCACCCTGACCCCCCCAAGGCGGGGTCTGTGCGGGCTTGGGCAAGGCAGCTGCGACTTGGAGCTGGAGACCCCGACGAGCACATTCTTATTTGGGAGTTTGTTCAACCAGAAGGAGGAAACTGCTGTCCGACACCTTCCTCCATTCTCGAAGCCAAGCTGGGCTGCAAAGACAGGCTAGCCGGACAAAACCGCTCCCCCTTTTGTCTGAACTTCCTCCCGGGCGCCCTCCTGCCACCTCCAGCACCCGCCGTCTCCGGGTCCTTCCTGCCCGAGGCTGATCTGCGCGCCCCGCGGACGCGCCGGGCTGTGGCCCGCGCAGGGCAAGGCGCCCCTCGGCCCGCCCGCGGCACTTCGCGAACGAGC